CAAGAACAATGTGGAGTGCATCTGGGAAATCGAGGCCGATCCGGGCTTCCATATTGCGCTCTCGTTCCAGGGACGCTTCTACATCGAGGACAGCGCCAACTGCGCCAAGGACTATTTGCGTGTCCAGGAGCGCAACAGCAGCCAACCATCGTCGACTGGCAACTGGACGGATTTGGCCAACCTATGCGGTCGCGATCCGCCCAAGATCATTGAGTCGACGGGCCCAGCGATGCGGCTAATCTTTCGCTCCGATGGCGACATAACGGGCGATGGCTTCAGTGCGCTATTTGAGCGCATCTGCGGCGGCGACCTCCTCGCCGGCCCCGAGCCGCAGGAGATCATCAGTCCCGGCTATCCGAAGGGCTATGCCAAGAATCTCTATTGCAACTACACAATCAAGCCACGCGACTCGAATGCAGTCGGCGTGCTGGTGAGCCTGCTGGACTTCGACCTGGAGCGCTCGCCCATGAGTGTTTGCATGTTCGACAATGTGACGGTGACGACGCGCGACGCTGCGGATCGGCAGCAGGAGGTGGTCATCTGCGGGCACAAGAATCAGTATGCGTATCGGGCGGCGAGGTCCATTAGCTTCGTGTTTCGCTCGGACAGCTCGTTCAGCGGGCGTGGCTTCAAGCTGGAGTACTCGACGAATCTGTGCGGCGGCGTTGTAAGCTCAACGCAAATGGTGGAGTCCGTGCGACAGCATCAGGACAACATGATGCCGCACAACAGCGACTGCTACTGGAATCTGACGGCGCCGGAGGGCCACAAGTTCACCGTCAAATTCGAGCTGCTCGACTTTGAGGACGGCAATCAGCTGTGCAGCTACGATGGCGTCGAGGTCTTCTCCAGCCCCGTGCCGGACGAGAAGCAGCGCATGGCGCGCTTCTGCGGACGCCTGACCGACGAGCTGCCCATCCTGCATATACCCACCAGCCGGGCGCTCATACACAGCTACTCCGATGATCGGGATCCGTCGGTCGGCTTCCGGGCGCTGGTGCGCGTCATGCCCAACTGTGATGAGAGCATCTATCTGGGCGAGAGCAATGCGAGCTACACGTTCAACAAGTTTGTCGGCTCCTATGCAAACGATCTGGACTGCAGCTTTAAGTTCCGGGCGGATTCCGGCTTTCAGATCAGCGTCGAGTTCCGCAGCTTTCACGTGGAGGAGACTAAGGACTGTACCGGTGACTTTTTGGAGTTGCGCGATGGCGCCGGACCGTTCGCCGATGAGATCGGCAAATTCTGTGGCCAGAACTTGCCACCGACGCTAACCTCATCGCGCCACGTGCTCTTCATGCGGTTCGTCACCGACTCAAAGGTCACAGACACCGGCTTCGAGGTGATTGTTACGGCCAAGCCGCTGCAGTGCGGCAGCTCACTGATTAAGCTTGATGGCAAGCAGCCCTACGATCTGCGATCCCCGGTGAATGATCACGGCAACTACGACAACAACGTCTTCTGTCTTTGGAAGATCGAGAGCGAGACATCGCTGCATCTCAAGTTCATCAGTCTCGATCTGGAGGCGCCCAATGCGACCGGCAGCTGCGATGCGGACTTTATCAAAATCTACAGCTCGGAGGTAAGCACTTAAGTTTCCCAGCAGCTCAAGCAGAAGTCGCAGAGTTGTTTCAAGAGTAACTACTAGAGTCGTATATGGATTGAAGAGCAATCTGTACTCTATTTGATATCCTCTTAAGTATTTTGCCAAAGACTTACAGCCTAAAGTTCCTGTCAACAGTTATAGATAGCGATATGTGCATTTTCTTTTTATACCCTGAACCCATTGAAAATGGGAAATCAGGGTATAATGGTTTTGTTAAAAGTATGTAACAGGCAGAAGGAGGCGTGGCAGACCCCACAAAGTATATTTATTCTTGATCAGGGAGACGAGATGAGTCGATTTGGCCCTGTCCCCGTCTGTCTGTCCGTCCGTCCGTCTGTCCGTATGTATGAACGCGTCGATCTCAGAAGATATAAGAGTTAGAGACATTGAAATTTTTTTCCTAGGTCCGTGTGTATCACGCGCATATAAAGTTTTTCTTTTTATATCGATAACTACTCCCGATATTTTATTATCGATTAAAAACCTTATCGAAAGCTAGTTATTTAATTATATCTCCTACACCTATAGAGCTAGAGCTTGCAAATGTCCGAATTTTATCGATTTCCACTAGGCTACGAGGATCCACTAGGATTGACCCATATATGTATATGTATATACATTTACATCTTTTAGTGACGTAATAGTGTTTGATCCTTAATTGGTTGTTCAATTGATCTTATTGAAAGTGCATTAGATTTCATAATGAGAATTGAATTAATTTCCTCTACCTCAATTCCATACAGGATGCGCAACTTGTGGAGCAGGGCTATGGCGATATGGTGATCTTCAACGGACGAAAATCGTCCCGTTTGTATAACGAATTTAGCTTGGAGCACGTCTATTGCGGCAATGGCTTGCCGGATGATTACTATCCAAATTCCAAGCAAGTGTACGTGAAGTTCCGTAGCAATGGATCCGTTACCCGGCCCGGCTTTCACATTCGCATTGTGCCGGACGCCACCTGCAAATTCAGCTATGGCGGCCTGCAGGGCCGTGTCAAGATATCGGAGAGCTTGGACTGCGATGCTGAAATCTTGGCACCGGCTAATTACACACTTAGCCTTTACTACGCCGAGGTGGGGTTCGGCTCGTCCGACTGCAATGTGGAGAATATCGAAATCTTTGACAAGGTCAGCAACAAGTCGCTGCAGCGCGTGTGCTCCTACATGAATCCAGGCAAGAGCCTGTTCACGTCGACAAATGAGCTGCGGCTACACTTCAAGACGGGCAGCTACTTCAACAGCTTCGACTTGACATACATTGCGTCACCCGTCGCCGACGGACCCGGCTGCGGTGGCCAGCTGTACAACACCGAGGGCATCTTCGCCAATCCCTTCTACCCGCAGAATGTGCGCAACAACTCCGACTGCCGCTGGAGTGTTCGTGTGCCGAGCAACACGCGAGTCCTGCTCCACTTTGAATGTAAATGAAATTGTCAACCGTATATATCTGGTATATATCTAACACATCTATACTTTCAGTTTTCAACCTTGGCTCGAAGGCCACCTGCCATACGGACTACCTTGTGATCCAGGAGCAGAACGAGCGCAACGAATTGCAGGAGATGCGACGCTTCTGCGGCGAGGACCAGCCCCGCATCTACTTGAGCAAGCGCAGCCAGCTCTTTGTGCGCTTCCACAAGTCGGTCAACTACGACGGCATCGGCTGGGTGATCAAATTCTCGGGCGTCTACGATAATTACGAGATACCCAGCTATATGCTTGAATAGGGGATATATAAATCCATACTGAAACCAATTACAATTATACACATTTATATCCAATAACATTTCGCCAACTTATTTTGTTTTTTAAATTTTATTGAATACATTTTAAATTAGTTATCTATAAAATAATTACTATGTATAATATATAATAATAGAATTTTCATCTTTGCTTGGGTTTTTTTTTTTTTTTTTTTTTTTTTGTTATTGTTTCTTCTTTTCATCTTCTTCTTTTATCTAAACACAAAAAAAAAAAATATGAAATTATAAAATATTACTATAAAATAAAACGCACAGTTCACGGAAATTGTTTCTTTCTCTTTCATTACTTCTCAGTTTCTCTTCCATTTTTTTCTGCGCTCTTTGCATTTATTTAACTATCAATACACAGTAAACGAAGAAGAAGAAGGAGGAAAAGTAATATGTTGTAAGATTGTTTAAATAAGAAATTATCGTTTAATTGTAATCAAAATTAAGAAAAGGGCGCTCAGTTACTCGCAAATATTATAAATTATTTATTCAGCTTAACAATCAACTGACCACTCACAAAGACTTTGCCTAATAAATACAATGCATACTTAACGCTTGCTCGACTTTATGCGAAATGAAATTTAAAAAAAAAAAAAAAATTATTAATAATAGAAATTTTTGCCTAAATATTTTATGTACAAAGAAGAAAAAACCGATTGGGTTCAAAGTTTGCAACTAAAAACACGATAAATATCATATCATATCAAGAAAAAAAAAAAACTTGCAGAGAAGCTATAGGTGGGAGCGAGAGAGGGTAGCAAAATTATTGAAATCGATCAAAAAAATCAAAACTTAATTTTAAATACTTTTCATCATATATAAAGAACAAATTTGCATATTTAAGCATAAGTGTGTTTCTTTGTTTTCTTTTGTTTTGTTTTGGGGCATATCGACGACATTTATGTAATGAACACGCACATAGATAACAATTCGAATCGATTCGCATCTCTTCTCCCTTTTTTTTTTTTTAGCTGATAACATGTATGTATGTATAATGTATATTTTATGTATATGCATAACTCTTGAACAATCAATTCATCAATTTTGTTTTGTTTTTCTTTTTCACTACCAAATGCGAACAACTCCAATTGTAACTCTAACTTCAACTTCAACTTCAATTTCAACTGCAACTCCAACTCCAACTACATATTCATATTCCTATATTCATATATGCATGTGCTTAATGCAAAAATCTGTTTAATGTATACATTTGGTTACAATGTAATATGTATATGTACGTATGTATTATGCTGAACTATGTAACAAACAATTGCCAAATGGCGCTCAACATTGTATATATGTATGTATGTATGTATGTATAGACGATTTGCAACTCCAAAGATAAACAGACATTTAGATAATTTTTGTTGTTCACAAACCAACAAATATTGTTGCGTTTCTTTTTCTTTTTCTTTTTATTTTCCTTTTATGGAATTTGTATAATTGATGCTATGCAGACGTTTCCAAAATTGACAGAATTGAATTCGTTGAAACATGTTAAACGTGGCCTAACGATCTTAACACACACACAGACGCCCGCATACGCACAAACGCTCACACTCACACTCACACACTCACACGCACAACACAACGATTGATATGTCTCAAATAAATTTTTTATTTCCTTTTTATATATATATATATATATATATATATATGTATGTATACATATTTCTTTTAGATAACTGCAATTCGCAATTTGGCCAATACGTTGCAGCCTTTACCCTAGCTCCCTCTCGCTCTGGCTCCCATTTCCTATTCACCTCTCGTTCGCTATCGCCGTCTCGCTCCACATTCATCTGCGCCCCGACACAATGCCAAAGACAACGGCCACTCATCTTACGAAATACTCGATATTCATCTACATACGCATGTGAACTTATCTATCTAGATCTTTATATATGTTTGTATATATATATATATATATATGTATATATTATTCTTATTATCATTATGTAGATTTATGTTTATATAATTCCAGATCAACTTAACAATATATTGGGAGTTAACTTGGGAAATCGGCTGGGTTAGTGGGGGGTGGCGGGGGCATGGTGAGTTGAGTGTATGTGTGTGTAGGTGTATATGTGTGTGTGTGTGTATGTGTGTGTGGCTTATTCTTCTTTTATTTAGATCAACTAGAGGCTAATAACATTAACTAAGAAACTCAAAATCAAACAAAACTTCCCGCAAGACACGCGTAGACGTCGACAATTTTGGCAATTGGCAGGCAACTGCTCCCTTGGGTCAGTTTGGATCCCTTGGCTCCCTGAACTCCCCTGGCCCCCGTCCGTCTCCTGATTGATCTGCTCGGAGGCGGGCATGCGGCAGCTAGGGCGCCGACCACGCCTACACGTTCAGGCACTGCTACATGCAGCAAAGGAAGCGGTGAAAGAAACTTTTGGCATTGCGGCGCACACGTTCGGCCCTTAGCTAACAGATGATGCCCTGGTCCAAGCTCAGGTTGTTGGTGGCGGCAGCAGCGGCATTCTTGGCGGCGATCACCGCATGATGATGATGATGATGATGGTGCATATGATGGCGATGCAAATGATGTGCCGCCGCAGTCGCTGTCGTTGGCATCCGTCCATTCAACAGCAGCGTCGAGCTGCTGCCACCTGCGCTGCCGCTGCTGCTGCTGTTGCCACTGGGATTGTTGCTGCTGCTGCTGCTGCTGTTGCTGCTGTTGGTATTACTGTTGCTGTTGGAAATTGAGTTGGGGCTGCTACAGCTGCTGCTACTGCTGCTGCTGCTGTGTTGCTTCTTGTGCACAGCGGTCAGTGGCTCTGAGGCACGTCGCACATTGTTGCAGATGACTGGGCCGTTGCAACTGTTGCTGCTGCTGCTGCCGCTAACACTGCGACGCATATTGCTGCTGCTGCTGTTGGTATTGCTGTTGCTGTTGCTGGTCGGTGGCATCGCAATGCTGGGCACTGAGCACTTGCGGGGCTGCTGCAGCTGCAGCTGCGTTACTGTGGACGCCAGATTGCCATTGGAGCTGCTGTTGTTGTGCGCCTCGAGCTCGTCCAGCTGAAACTTCTTGACCAAGGCCTTGACCGACGTCGCCGAGCTGGCCTCCGTGGCGGGTGTCTTGCGTATGACTTTGGGCGTGGTCGGCGCATCCGGGAACAGCGCCAGCGTGGCAATCACTGTCGTCTCCTCCAGTCCATTGCTGCCGATCTGTATGGTGGCCGTGCTGGCCATCGGCTTCTTCACAAACGTCGCCGTGTAGGTGTTCTCCTTGTCCGAGTCCGAGGCGCGTCGCGTCGGTGTCACAATCTGTGTGGGCTTCGTTGCATTTGTTGTCGCCAGCGACATGGTCAGCGCCTGGGGCAGTGTGTGTATGGCCGTTGTAGTCTCTGTGCTGGGGCTCAGCTTGTGGCTGGTGGCGATTGGTATCTTCGAGCTGCCGTGTGCTCTGTGCCCATTGTGCGTCGCCTTGTTGCTTCCTGTTGCAGTGCCAACAGTTGTTGCTGCTGCTGTTGCTGCTGCTGTTGTGCCGTTTTGTTGCTGTTGCTGTTGCTGCTGTTGCTGTGAAACATTTTCAACGCCTTCATCATCCTCCTCCTCCTCGTCCTCATCATCATCGTCCTCATCCTCATCCTCATCATCCTGCACAAAGTCGGCATCGTGCTGTGCCTGCAAGTAGATTTGCCTATTCAAGGAGCATTCGTCCTTTAGCCAGACGTGCTCCAGGCAGCCAGCGGCATTCATGCGATCGCTACAAAACGAAAGAGAGGGAAAGAGAGAGAGAGAGAGAGAGAGTAAGTTCAGCACAAAGAATTAAACTCAAATCGTACTCACTTTGGCTTAATTCGCAATGCGCGACGTATGAAATCAATTGCCGCCTGGGAGACGCCGCCGAAGAGATTGTCGGGAAAGGTCAGGGCGCACTGTGAGATATTGAGGAAGGTCTCCTGCTTGGTATCGCCGCCAAAGGGCGAGAAGCCCGAGAGCAGCACGTAGGCCAACACGCCCACCGACCAGATGTCCGTCAGCAGCGACAATGGCTCGTACTGCAGCACCTCCGGTGCTACATAGTCCGGAGTGCCGGCCATCTCGCGCACATTGATGCCCTCGCAGACGACGCGCGAGATGCCGAAGTCGCACAGCTTGAGGCCGTCTGTAAGAGAGTTGAGCGAGTTAATCAATCCAAGCTCAAGGCATTACGGCAATTCGCTATGCTCCAACTCACCCTCAATACGCTCGCCAGTCAGCAGAATATTCTGCGGCTTCAGATCCAAGTGGGCTATGGAGCGATCATGCAAGAACTTCAAAGCCTTGAGCGTTTCGCGCATGCAATGGCGCGCCTGCGCCTCGCTGAGGCACTCCTCGTTGTCCAATATCGTTTGCAGCTCGCCGCCAGTGGCCCTGGAACGAAATCAAAGTAGATAAATATATATATCAGATATTCGCTATATATATAGTAAAAGATTATGAATTGCTTACAATATTTAGTACTATTTATTACAAATATTTAAAAAGTACAATAAAAATAAGGTTATAAGGTGTCTGCTTATTGCGTTAGTCCAGTTTTGCCATACTCCCCATACCAATGGATATGAAAGGCCTCTTCTGGGTATAACGACGTAAAGTCGTTTTTTTCTTGGGCTTTGTTAGCGTAAGTGGATTGTAATTCTATAAAAGGCTTCTAAGCTAATCTAGGCAAAATTGCTACGCCCTGAATCCTACGCAATTGCAATCCTGTTCAAGTCTTCCCATTACGAATAACTTTGATTCCAGACACATGTGTTTATACAATATTATTATATTCCCTTTGGGTTGATTCTACAAAGAATTTAAACAATCAATGACGGATGCATATATTTTGATTAAATTATAAATTACAATTTTTGTAAGTGTAAATCAGTTCAGATCATTTTTTTGTCTACAAAATAAAATCGTCACTTTCTTGCCCCCTATGGGACAAATCTATTCATGTAGAGGTTGAACTCCGACTGATCTGATAAACTTGTCTTGAAAACTTAACAATCTGAAGTCTTAGCACTTTATAGGTTGTTCTAAGCTCTGGTGGGGTCTTAATGTAAGCACTTCCAGGTGGGCAATGCATGAATCCAATATACTCTCTCTTTAAACACTCTGAATGAAACGATGCCTTGGCCCCAGTTGTGATCTTTGTGCATTTCCATTGCATGTGATTTCCCCACATGATTTTTCTAGAGTTTTCGAATTTAACTAGCAAATCAACTGTGTTTGACAGTTTCCATATTTGTTTCTCTTTGTCTGCAATGTTCGTCTGTATTTCTGTCTACTCTCTCCTCTCTAAATACCAAATGAATTGTTGCAACACTTAAGCTCGTAACATTAGTATTTCAAACTAAAATTGATATATTATTTTACTTTTATTATTTTTTATTTTTTCAATTGAATTAATTTAAAAAAAAATTATTTTCTCAAAATTATTATTCTTATTCTCTTCACCTAAATAAAGAATTATTAAATAAATAATAAAAATATAATAATAAAAAAAAATGTCATTTCATAATAACAAATTGAATGTCGAAGCTGGTGCTTTAATTTGCTCAATCAATCAATCAATCAATCAGTTTAAGCTAGTTAATATGAGCTCTGCTGTGACTCTAACATTCAGAAGCATTCAGTAGTAGTAATAGTAGTAGTAAAAGCAGTAGCAGTAGTAATAGTAGTAGTAACAGCAGTAGCAGTAGCAATAGTGGTAACACTACTAATAGTAGTAGTAGCATTACGAATAGTAGTAGTAGTACTAGCAGTTAATAGTAGTAGTAGCAGTAGTACTAGCAGTTAATAGTAGTAGTAGTACTAGCAGTTAATAGTAGTAGTAGCAGTAGTAATAGCAGTAGCCGTAGCAGTAGCAATAGTAGTAACACTACTTATATAATACTACCAATAGTAGTAGTAGCATTACTAATAGTAGTAGTAATAGTAGTAATAGTACTATCAGTTAATAGCAGTAGTAATATTAGTAGCAATAGCAATAGTAGTAACACTACTAATAGTAGTAGTAGCATTATTAATAGTAGCAGTAGTGATAGTTACTAATAGTAGTAGTAACACTACTAATAGTAGTAGTAGTAGTACTAGCAATAGTAAAAGTAGTAGTAGCAGTAGCAATGGTAATAATACTACCAATAGTAGTAGTAGCATTACTAATAGTAGTAGTAGTAGTAGTAGTACTATCAGTTAATAGCAGTAATAGCAGTAGTAATATTAGTAGCAATAGCAATAGTAGTAACACTACTAGTAGTAGTAATAGCATTATTAATAGTAGTAGCAGTAGCAGTAGTACTAGCAGTTAATAGTAGTAGTAGCAGTAGTAATAGTAGCAGTAACCCCCAAAGGGTATTTCATTAGAGTTTCAGATTTATTTAGTTAGTCTGTTTTTAGTCAGTCTGTACTTGGTTAGTCATGGGATACTTACAGCTCCAGCAGCAGCGCCGTGTCGGAGCGCGTCTCGTGCACAGCGTTCAGGTTGACGATGTTGTCCTCGCCCTTGCAGAGCATCAGGACGGCGATCTCGTGCTTGATCTCCTTGTCGCTGCTTTGGGCGCGTCGGCGTCGCTTTAGGAATTTGGCAGCGAATTGCGAACCGGAATTCTTGTGTATCGCCCGACGAACTGCCGCAAATTTGCCCCTGCAATGAAACGAGAGAAACGAGAACGGATTAGTTTCAGTTTTTGTTTTTATTTTTTTTCTCAATTAGATTTTGGCTAGCAAACCGGATCAGTTGCAATCTGCAGCCCACATGCGCCCATAGTTTCATTCATAAAGACTGCCCAATTGTTGGCCAACTGCAACGACAACAACAACAACAACAGCCATGAGACATCCCAACATGAGTCAACCACTCAGCCAAGAGCGGAATGACAAGCCAACGCTGGATGCGAGCAGAGCTTGGCTGGCCACGAGGAGGCTCTGACGACGTCAAAGTCGCGTCAACGAAACGCCTTTGACAAAGTACGTGCCATAATGAAGCAATTGCGCTTCCGGTAAATACTAACAACAACAACAGCAGCAGCAGCAGCAGCGACAAATCTGGCATACCAAATAAGTCAGTAAGTAGTTGGCTCAGCCCCAGCTCCAGCTGCAGTTGCAGTTGCATCACGCAACCGTCCATCCACTCCAACTAGACTTGAGCATCAGCAAATTCCAATAAGACTCTGTCACAACTTCACTACAACAAACTTTCGACAATGTTTGGTGAGAAGTTCTCAAGTTCGTTAAATGCAAGTTTTCTATTCTAAATGAATCGCTTTAGCTTTACGTTTTGGCATAGCTCAGTTTTCCAATCAACTGATAAGCCCGGCTAGAGGTGAGGGTATTGCCAGAGTGCTGCTGTCGTCGCCTTAACGCGGACTGGTTTCTAATTGTTGCATGCACCGCTCCTCACAGAGAGACAGGGAGAGAGACAGAGAGAGAGAGAGGGAGGGAGAGAGAGAGTGTCACATTGATAGCTGACTTCTGACGGCTGCTCTGCCTTCTGTCTTCTACCTTCCCCTTTCCCCTTTCCCCTTTCCCCCTTCTGTCCTCTGCCTGCTGCTAGCCACATTCACAAATTGTCAAATGTGTCGCCGCTTGAGGACAACGTGCAACGGGCTGTGTTGTGGTCATTAAAGTGAAATATATTTCGTGCTTGCCACGCAACGCAGATGTGCATGCAACATGCAACAAGGAACTGCAACTGCAACAGGCCCAACTCCTCATCATCTATTCAATTAGCGCCAGCAACATTTTGCATCTGCCTTTGGCAACATGTTGCCAAGGCCTTGTCAACATTGCCCCGCCACTTGCAGGTGCATTCACAAATCTCCTGCTCCTGCTACGTTCTGTGTGCTTCCTCTGTCTTTCTTTGCAACTTATTTAATTACAATATTTTTCATGCGGCTAATTGGGCAAGGTCTTTCGGGCTGCGTGGCTGTTGCTGCTGCTGTTGCTGTTACATAAGGCCCAGGTCGATGCTGTTGGCAGATGACGCAGCTGAACTGCGTTAACTGAAGATGTGGCGTAGGCGCAAGACAGTTCTTAACAGCAACAACAACAACAGCAGCAACAACAACAACAGCAACTGTCCAGCGACTGCTGGCCAGTGAACTTTAAAGGTTAGTCTAGAAAACCTTGTCGCAGGGCGCAATCGGGCTAATGGGCTAGCATAGATGTGTACACACATATGTGTGTTTGTGTGCGTTCATCTGCATGTGTGTGTGTGTGTGTGTGTGTGAGAGAGTTCATGGTTGGTCATTGTCGTTGCTGTCGTAGCCGGCCACTCCCACGCGTATTGCCCTTTTTTCTCTTTTGAATGCTTCATTAAATCTGGCAATAAGCTACAGTTGCACCGTGGAACGCATATAAAATATACTGCATAAATTTATATACACTAGTGGGCATAATTATTTTGACAAACAAATTTTCCTGTATTTTGAGCATAACTTTGTACCCTGAATCATTTTTTTTTTGTTTTCTTTGGATATATGTATATATCCCACCGAGTTGGTGATAATATTCTAATAATATTCTGTACTTTTGTAAGCAATACAATTAAATTTGTAGTTTAGCTAAATTTGACTCTAGTTTTTGTCATTGTATCTTTAAATAAGTAAATATATATAAGGATTACAGACCCAAGATAAGCCTTTATAAAGCTTGCTCGTTATCAACTTTTGTATCTTTAAGTTTTAAAGTTTCTTATTGAAATGAAACCCAAAAAATGTTTAATTAAAATATCACCGAAAAGCAATAAATAAGAGGAATTAAGGTTTTTTCTCTTCAATAGTTGATCTAATTGTGAGAAGAAGCAAAGTACATAGCTATGACAGTTAAAATTTAATTATATATAATTATATTATAATTCATATAGTTCATTTCTGTTTAGTCTCTCAATTTCGTGCAATATTTTTTGCTCATATATTTTGCAGTCGATTCCACGGTGCCGCGCGTGTGTTTGCTGGGGCTTTTGGTCAAGTGTGAATTTGTATAACGAGCTGCTTCTAATATGGTCAGCTTTGGCAGCGGCAGCGATCGATCCGGGCGAGATTCGCGATTAGAGATTTGCGAGCCATCAGCTCTAAATCGATCCATGTCTGTTTCTGTTTCTGTCCCTCTGTCGGCTTCTGCTTCTGTAGCTGTTGCTTTTTTTTGGCATTTAGTGGCTCTGGCAGGCACATACAAGGCATGGTTTGGCCCGATCTTAGTGACGCACAATTCGACAGCTTCAAACACCAAACCGAGACGACGACCAAATAAGGTGGCGTTTAAAACCGCGCACAAAACGCGCGGCGCGTGCACGTGTCATTGATTTTGTGGGCAATTGTTCGGAGGCGCAGGCAAAGGCAGAGCAGGGCAGGGAATGGGACGAGGTAGTAACTTAACTATCAGCTGAGATGCCAAGAGTGCAGCGATCTTTGGACTTCTAAAAGTTTGTGAGAAGCTGATACAGGAATATTAAAATTTACCTAAGTCGTTGAGTCAGCAATGATTACAGCAGGAGAGGGAGAGGATAAAAGGAAATAGGTTGCTAGATTGAGAGTGAGGATTAATAAAATAGAATGATGGTGAGAGAGATGGAGTAGGAGAAAGAGAAATACAAAGAGAAAGAGCGATAAAGAGGGAGAGAAATTGATAGTGATAGGTGGGGAAGAAAGGCACGAGAAAATGAGGTAAAGAGAGAGGGAGAGTGAGAAGGGTGAATAGAGGGAAAGAAAGGTGGAGACAAAAAACGCGAGAAAACATATAGAGAGCAGAGAGAGGAAAGAAAAGGAAGGGACAAATAGTGTTAGTTTGAAAGAGAGAGAGAGAGAGAGAGAGTTTGATAGGGATACCGAAACATAGATAGCGCTCTTAACATGTTCAATTAATTAATTGTGTATCGATACATATCGATAGACCTTATACGTAAAAGAAATCTTGCGCTCAACGAAATTATAATAATTAAGCTTGAGAGGCTCATTTGGTGAGTCGATCCCACAAGCCCCATTAAATCTTGATATCTTATTGAGTCCATGCATTGGCCATTTCTAGAGTTTTCGTCTCTCTTTGCATTTACTATTTCAATGGAGCTCCAACTGCTTCCAGCTGACCCACAAATCTCAAGCTTTTATGTCATTCCTCTTGCTTTAGGACATTTTATTTGCAATTTGAATTGGGAAACGATTTCAGATTGCGATTTGTTCATTGGATGCATTTGATTTCAACTCGGTTTTGGGCTTGGCTAAAAAACGCACACACAAAAACCAAAAGCAAAGCCAAAAGCAATGATTCGTTGGCACCCACCCAATCCCCACAACAATTGAGCAAAATTTGTATTGCAAATGAGCAAAAAATAAAAAAAATAAAAAAATAAAATAAATAAAATGAAAAGAAAAAAAAAATCGAAAATTGAAATTGAAAAACAAAACAGAAAAATAGTTTGTTAACAAGGTGTAAATTGCTAGGCAGCAACAGCAGCGGCAGTAGCAAAAGGTTAGCCAGTTGCAGCTCCAATTGCCCAAAAGCGGCAGACGAAACGAGGTGAGACAAAGCTGGAGCGAAGGTGAGAGACGCGGCGAGAGCGTGAGAGATGCAGGTGGAAGCGGAGTGAAAGAGGCGGCATCAATTCCGTTTCTGACTGGCTGACTGTGTGCCGTGTGGGTGAAATGCATTTGCCTAGTTGCAAAGTGCACTCAGTAGCTATGCACGCCCCGCTCGCCCGCTCGCCCGCTCGCCCGCTGCCGCCTCTTGCAGTACTCTTCAGCTCTTGCAGCACTTCTGGCTAACAATAACATTTTGCAGGCTTTGACGCATTTGAACAAACAGCTGAAGAATCTTTTTGCCTTTGACAGACGACGATGACGATGACGACGTTGATGACAAGGATGCGGATGACGACAAAGTGCGGCTGAAGTGCTTGCTGCACGTTGCTGCACGTTGCTGCTGCTGCTGCTGCCGCTGCTTTTAGTGCAACCGGGTGCATTGAACCGAAGAATGCCCGCGAGTTGCCTCAACTCTGTGTATGCATGTGCATGTGTGTGTGTGTGTGTGTGCGTGTGTGTGTGTGGAGTGCAGTCGAGTAAAATCATCTGGCGGTGCTGTCAGCCAAGCAAATAGTTGCCCTTTAGGTGACTAACTAAGCATGGGCCACAGTCGCCGCCTGAAGACGCACAAGTGTCCTCCCCTTGATGCCAGCCCATTAATGTGACAATTAAATTGGCCAGTCACACAAATGACGCACATTGAACTCAATTCCCTTGAAGCGCAAACTATGTGCAACATTTGCAATCGGACGTCAGGCACTTCTCTGCTCGAACTTTAACTCATGTCAAGCAGCACGAATTGCACAAGAAATACATCTATACATAAATATACTATAAAAGTGTTCTAGCATCTATAAATTGCAAAATATATGTATTCATCTACATGAATCTACACAGTAAGTCGGAAAACTCTAACTCTAACTCTCTCTAACAGCAATGAATTTACGCCTAAGAAACGAAATCAATTTATCGATTATTATCGATAAAAGCTAATGGGATAAATGATCTATAAAGCAAGGTGACTAGTATTGCGTATGGTATGCTATCACCAAGTAAAATTGTCGATAAAAAGAAAATGCGATTCATTATCGATAATGTGATAAGTTCGTACGACGTGTAATGTCCCGAA